TCAACTCACAATCCCTTCCCCTTCATTGTGCCCCATTTTTTGCTGCATGATCCAAGCATCTCATCAGACAAGTAAAGTATTACCCCACCAACGATAATCCTGCTCATGCAAATATCTCTGTCCCTTCAAATCTATATTCCTAGCTCTGTATTGCTTGAATTAATGCTTGATTATTATTTGTATGCCTGAAGAACATCTAGTAAAGGAATCATTATTTTAGTAACACAGTCTCTGCGTCTTTTCGTGGGTTCTGGGAATTCTGACACCCATATACACAGGTTATGATCCTATATTTAATGCCTATTGCCATTTAATAATCATAATTCCCCAATTTTATTAATACATTAAGGCAATTTGGCTCACACAGCCTTCAATTTGGCTCACACAGCCTTCAATTCCTGTCCGTAAGAGACATGGGGAGGGGTCCAGGGCCCTTTCCAGAGCTGTTTCAGCCTTTGAGGGAAGATTCACTGGGGCCAAGCTCCTCAGCAGCAACCACTGAGCAACTTAATACCATGTGACTTCCATGACTCACTCAGGCCCAGCTGTTCCCTACTGTTCAACAGCAGCTACCTCACGAAAGCCAATGTGGTGTAGTTGTTCAAGTTCCCAGCCTCCAGGTGGGGTCTATAAATTTCCTAGAATTGCAACTGATCTCCACAGGGTTGCCATTCCCAAGGTCTGGGTGGGGAATTCCAGGTTTTGGGGGCTTCTGTCCACTGCCGGCCAGTTGGCCGATGGGGAGAACCCCACCCACGAACAGCAATGTTCCAGCTGCAATAACATCACCTAGAAGTGACATCACTGTGTCTGGGACATCCCGTGGCAATGCTCTGATTTTTGGCCAAAACTCTATGGTTTGACCCTGATTTTACCATAGAGTTTTGCTCCAAAACCAGAGTGTTGCCCTCGGTATCACCAACACAATGACATCACTTCCGGGTGATGTCAGCGCATTGGGGACATCCCTGCCCACTCCCAGAATGCCTCCCAGTTCCCCCCACTGGCAAGACGAGAGGACTTGGCAACCCTAGATCTCCAGACTACAAATATCAGTTCCTCCAGAGAAAATGGCTCCTTTGGATGGTAGATTATAAGATATTACACCCTGCTGAGCTTCATCCCCTCCCAAACCCCACCTTCCTCAGGCTCCAACCCCCAAATCTTCAGGAATTTTGCAATCTGGAGCTGGCAACTCTAATTCTGGGAGACCCAGGTTTAAATCTCTGTTCTGCTGTGGAAGCTTACTGAGTGACTTTGGGCAACTCACCTACTCTCAGCTTCACCTACTTCACAAAGTTGTCATGAGGATAAAATGGAGGAGAGGAGAATGATGCTTTGAGTCCCTATTGTGAAGAAAAATAAATAAATATAGCTGAAGATGGAGGGGAGGTAAAAAGTAGATGGGTGTGAGAGTGGGAAGGAGAGAAGGAAGCAGGGAAAGGTGTGAATATGGGGCTGCTAGGAGGAGGGAAAAAGGAAACAGCATGGAGGGGAATTCAGGGGAAAGTGAAATCCCCTTCAAGTCCTTGCAGGTAGGTTGACTGGTGAGTGGAAGGAGCAGGAAAGGAGCAGGAAGAAGCAGGGAAAGGAGAGATGCTATGGGGGCTTTCAGGGAAGGAGAAGAGGAAAGAATGGGGAACAGTAGGGAAGTAAACAAAAGTTGTCGTATCAGAGTAGTAGAGAAATGTATCCTGTTTGCTATGTTACTGTGGACAAGAATACATGGGTCTTTCAAATAATTCTCAGTAGCAAAAGATACTGCGTCTCTCCACACTCCCAATTTTTATCTATTCAGTCTTCTTACATGCTGAAGCTGACCAGAGAGAAAGAAGCAACTATTTTTGCATTTAACCTCCATATACAGAGGCACCAGGGCTTTTTTTTGTAGAAAAATCCCAGCAGGAACTCAATAGCATAATAGGCCACATCCAACAGCAGAAACTCATTAGCATATTAAGCTACACCCCTGACAGCACAGCTCATTAGTGTATTAGGCCACACCCCATGCCTTCCCTTGACTTGCCTGGGTGCCCGCGGGTGCGGGGACCCCGGACAAGCCCCCCCCCCTGAAGGGAAGGGAAGACAGTTTAAACTACCTTCCCTTGGCTTGCCCGGGTGCCCCGCAGCTGCAGGGAGCCTGGGCAAGCCAGCCCTTGGACAGGCTGGGGAAGTCATGGGGAGGCATTTAAATGCCTCCCCAATCCTTCCAGGCCCCCCCCCGGCCCACCTGCCTCAAAGTTGCCGGGGTGTGTGTGTTGCTCTTCAAGCCTTCCTTCTGTAGCCATGCACGCAGAAGTTTTGGCTGTAGTGGGCATGGCCAACTCTGAAGCCAGCCGGAATGCCATTCCTGTGTGTTCCTGCCCAAAAATAGCCCTGAGAGGCACTATATCTCTGAATAACCCATAGCAGAGGCAAGCAATAGGGGATCCCCATTCACTCCATGCTTTTGAATACCTTAATTTAACATGAGGAAACAGAACGATGGACCGTGTGGACATTGGCCTTGCTGAGCAAGGCAAGTCTTATGCTCCTGTGTTCACACCTAGTGTCCAAATAGAGCAATACAGGTTTTCCCACCATGCAGAAGCTCTGCCAAGAGTAGCTGTATGCTGAATGGCTGCTTGCCACACATCTGCTAAAAGCCATAGGATGCCTGCAAGAAAAAGGCTGGCAACCCTAAGTGCATGAAATAAATGTGAGATACAAACGGTGTTATGAGCCATCTTTCCTATTTTCAAAATGTGTTTTATTTTTGCACGGCTTGGTCACTAACAGTTGGAGGGAGGGAGCTGGAAACATGGAACCAGCTGAATAAGCCCAGAGCTGAGCATTCGTCCCTCCCTTTCCTGCAAGAAATTTAAAACCTGATCATGGCCGGAGGCAAAAGGCTCTTGGCTTATGGCCCCCTGTGCTGGCAGAACCATCACCAGCTTGGGCCATCTTCGCAGCTCATTTCCTGTTTGGAGCTTGTAGAGGTGGCAGCATCTGTTGAGGTCTGTCTATGTTAATTGTATTTTAACATTTATTGTATTTTGTAAGCTGCTGAGTCCCCAATGTGAGAGGAAAGTGGGATTCAAACATTCCAAGCAAATAAATAACTGACGTTAATCAAGGTACAATTAGAATAACTGTGTAAAGAGGGCAGAAGGGAACAGGTTTGCATTTGTTTAGCTTAGATCTGGCTAGCAGAATCGCTAAAATATTTCTGCAGAGAGGCATTTTTGCTTAGTTTCTGTTGGGCTGGAGGTGGATGTCTGCCTATCTGCACTTCAGAGCCCTCACAGTATCCACTCAACCTGAAAACATGTAAATAAATCAATACTAAAGCTCTGTCAGCCTTCAGTGCTCTCTCATCCAGAAAAAAAACTGACATAAAAGTCCGCTCTGAATTCCCTCCCTACTGCTAAAGGAAGGAAGGAATAACACAAAACCATTTCGTACTAGTATTCCATTGCTTAAATTCCCTCCCTACTGCTAAAGGAAGGAAGAACACAAAACCATTTCGTAGTAGTATTCCATTGCTTAAAAAAATCCCACAATGTTCCAAAATTGCTAAATAATTTTGAAGACATTTGTAAAAAAGTCATTGTCATGACATGGTCTACTGGGCTGTGTGTGGGTGTGTGTTAGATCAGGCCTGTATAATGTGTTTCCTGACAAGCCAAATACTGTATATGGCAGCCTCACCAGTATGGTGTTAGCTGCACAAGCAACTGTGAGACAGAAAACCACCAGCAGAGGAAGGTATCAAGAAAGCCAGTCCCCATATTTTGTAACTGCTGCTGTCACTGAAAGACCTTTAATCAGCAATGGTCAAAATTGGGAGCGGGGGGGACGGGGACAGGCCAAAAACATTCTTGGTTTTAGTTGTATTGTATGTTATTTTATTTATTTTCTTAAATCTTTATCCTGTCCCTCCTCCAGAATGGGGCTCAGAACGGATAACAACATGACTGTACAATAACAATAATAAAACCATAATTTCAATAAAATCCATATGATTGTCATGTTCTGTAAACTGCCCTGAACATAACTTTTTTCTGGAGAAGTTTAGAAAAGCCTTAAATAAGTAAGTGGGAGAACCATTAGGTATCACTGTTCCAGAAGTCTTGGTTGTTTCAACAGGTAAGTTAAATTTACCTTTCTGTCACACAACCACTACCCTGCCTCATTAATATTAGTTTTTAAGTGGTTTTTTTGAGAAAAGTAGACAAATATTTTAAGCACTCTGAAAAGCGGTGACTCGTAAAGCAGCTTCCATCTGATAAATTAATGTAGTTTTATTTGTGAAAATAAAAAAATATTATGAGCTTTGGCTAAACAATAACATTTTTATTGAATGGAAAATGAAAAGCCACATTATACTTTTTTTATTTGGAGGGAACTGTTAACAAATATCATAAATGAGAACATTTTTATAGCCCAGCTCCAATCCTTGAACAATTCTGGCCACTATGTTTTGCAAAAATTAAATTCAATTTCTTTATATATGCAAAGCAAAAAAATATTTTATAAAATGCTATAATCAGGCAATAACGCTTCCCGTTGGTTGCCTTCAATCAGCTCTAATTCTAAATGTAAACCAGTGCAATTTTTTATTTTATTTATATAAATGACTTATACCTTTGTGGCTCAATTGTTACATAGACTGCAGTCCTAAGGGCATTTTCCTGGGTGTAAGCTCTGTTAAATAAAATGGTGCTTATTTCTGAGCAGACCTGTTTACAACTGCTTCCACAGTCTAATTTCTTATAATTTCAAACATGTAGGTTCAGTGCAATCAAACCAACCATGAGTCAAGTCTGTGCCTCAAGCCAAAATGATGGGCACCTCAGTGTGCCAAGCTGGGGCAGAAACTCTTTTAATAGGGATTACACATAGCACATGCTAGAGGGTTACAATCCTCTAGAGTGCAATCCTAAACAGAGTTATTCTCTTCTAAACCTACTTAAGTAAATGGGCTTCAAAAGGCAGTGCAATCCTAAACAGAGTTATTCTCTTCAAAAGGCATAACTCTGCATAGGACAGCACTGTTAGAGAAGTGTTTACTGTGGAGAGAAAACTACATAGAGAGAGGAAGGGGAACATAGGCAAAACAATGTCATGTATTCAACTATGTGATAAAGGCCTTCCCTACATACAGCACCAAAGCCACTCCATATTGTATTTCCTTTCTTTGGTGTGACAGAAAAGCCAAGAAGAGACTAAGTATATGGGCCTTATATAAATATGTTAAGTCATATCATTGAATGTACCACTTCAAGATGCTGGTGACAAAATTATAGGAATGAACACCCCTGGAGGGGTGGGGAAAACCTTGCATGTAGAAGAGTACAATATAATTGAGAATTATATCTAGTTTCCCACGTGCACTTCCTAATATGCAAGAGTATTTAGTCACATAATACCTCCCCTTTACACTGTGAAGGGATACAGTCTAGGAACCCCTTGAGCACAAGATGAAGTGTTTGTGTACAGCAGGCTCATTCAAGATGGCCGAAGGTGAAATGTAATGGTAAGGGCATTTTGTTAACTCTGGCCATTTCTCTCCTTTCAAAGCAGCCAGCACTATCACTTGGGGCTATGACTCAGAACAAGTCCATGCCTGCCCCTGGCCTCTCCTTTCATTGCTTATTGACATCCTTCTCCATGCTCATGTGGTAGAACAGAGCTTATATCAAGATAGTTTAGGGGGTGGGTATGAGTAGAAGTAAATATTGTTCTAAACCATACACTATGTTACTAGGGAAAGTGCTGCTGATTGATCAGTGTCTGGAATGATCATACTTTAGCTAAGAGATTCTAGAGACTTCCATCTCAGATTTTTATTCAAGGTAAAGGAATTACTGACAGCTCGGTGTTTGGAGACCAGGACATTGTTAATTTGACCCCTAAGCCTCCAAAGACCGCATCTTTGCTCCTAATTTGGTAACAGGTAAGTGTACTGCTGTCAACTAGCTTCTTGTCATTAGGAGTTAGGCACTGTTGGTTCACGAGTATGGCTGTGCAAATTTGAGTTTTTGTTTGTCAGTTTCAGAACACTCTAACCGGGCAAGATTCTGTAAACTGAGGTTCTGCTATTCAAGGTTCTTATGCAAACTTGTAGCTACTGCTGCTTAGTATGGAGTTGCAGGATGGTGGTATTGTAGAACACCCCATAATCTGCTAATGTCTTGTCATTCTGCAGCACTGTATTCTCTACATCAGGCTGCTGCAAGGCTGTGCGCTTCTCGTAGATGGAGACGTGCCCTTCTAGTCCAAACTTCTCTTTGATCTGCCCGATGGTATCATAGGGACTGCATGACATATCCTGGCTTGCTCCTTTCTGTTGTTTCATCCTCACTTGAATGGCTCTGGCAGGCTGGAAAAGAAAGTGATCAGGGTGTCAAACAACATTTGCCAGGGCTGTACATAGCTAAACCACCAGGGTCAGATACCTTTACTGTAAAAAGGACACTCAAGGGATTCTCAGAAATTCTATTATTAGGAATTAGGGGTGTAGATTCAGACAATTGGTGATTTTTTAAAAATGAGCTGAACACATCTGGTTCATTAACCTTCAAAGAAAGTGAATGGAATTTCCTCCAATTTCTAAACCCAAACAAAGTAGGCCAGTTGTGGCCATTTTTCTTAAGGTGCCAATAAGTCTTTGTGGCTGTACTTTGCTTTCAGTTCCTACTTTGCTGTGCTGTCTAAATTTCTAGGGAAGGAGAGATGTAGCAAGGGGAGAGGCAGATTCAGCAGATAGGCAAAAACCATAATAGACATTATATCATGGAAAACAATGATTTTAAAAAATCCAGGTGTCTGTTTCAATAATTTAGAAACAGCATCGACTTCTGTACTTTTATATTTATGTTGCTACTTTCCTTGGGTCTCAACTTTGTTGGGAGAAAGTCAGGCATAAGATATTGCTACTTTCCTTGGGTCTCAACTTTGTTGCGAGAAAGTCAGGCATATTTAGATAAATATTTCAGCAGCCCTATAAAGGCAGGCAAGCAAAAAGTGGAGATGCAGGACATCACTGGCAGAGCTGTGGGCCAGTGCGAAAATAATGATCAAGGAATCACCTCTGGGAAGACCACACAGATAACCCACCTCACTATGACTTCTTTACCCACCAGAGAATCAAACGGCCTATAAGCAAATTTGACAATGTCACCAGAATTGACCCAAGCAAAGAATCATTTTCTGAGCCAGGTATCAGAAAGTAGATAGCATCAGCGATACCTGCACAATCCAGGGCTGAACAGGAACGTCATCTTTCTTGCAGCATAACTCATTTTGGCAGGCAGAAGCTTCTTTGGCCAACAGATCCCAACCATTCTCAGTGCCTAAATTTCTTGTTGGATCTGCTGGATCCATGATCACAGGACTGCAGATACAAACACATGGAACTCTTTGTTAAAACACTACAAATTGTTACACAAAACCATGCAAATATAACGATGAATAGTTTTATTGTAACTCTTCCCTTATTTAGGACCATAAATAAATTATTGACATCCTGATACCAATTATTCCAGTGCATTCACATAAATTTCACATGACAGCAAATCTATTTTCTGTTTGTTTTCCTTCCCTTACAGAAATTGTATTTGTAAATTGACCATAACAACCAAGGTCCAGTTTCTGAAAACTCCCACTGTAATAGTGGCAGTGTTGACTTTTTGATTTATGGAACATTATTATTTTGTTGCTACTAATGCTTCGTAAGTTCCAAATTGCTATCACCAATTATTTGCAACTACCCTATAAAGGACAAAAGGGATACAGTCTGATGGAATAATCAGTCATCCACTGAACACTCTGTCAAAATTACAATTTGGCTTGTAAATTCTGATGCAGCAGATTTTTATGCTGTTGTTGTGCTAATTATTTGTTGAGGAGTGAGTTCAAATAGAAATTCATATCATTTTTATAGTAATGTTATTTTTACATTTATACTGGGTTGTTTGCTATTCTGAGGACTTTATGGAAACATGTTTTTCAGGAGATAAACCTTAAAATAAATATAAGCATTGTATGAGCCATAATAAACTTGCATGAATAAACTTTTGGATGTGCTCATTTTTTTCTTTAAGGAATTATTGTAGGTAGCCCAGCTGGCCTGGACGAGAACTCAGGCTCCATTCCATTATTATGAAAAAGCCTTCTGGATTCTGTCAGATTTCTTGTCTTCCAGAAAGCCTGAAAAACCAGGCTATCATTTTGAAGAGGGCATATTACCTGTTATGACTCCCCACAATGTCTTCTTTCAGCCACATGTGAGCTTTTGGTGGTACCTGGCCCTCAGTTTGCCTGTTTGAGTACAACAAGGGCAAGGGCCTTTTCCATCGTAGCCCTGACCTGGAGGAATGCTTTGTCTGAGGAGACTAGTGCTCTGTGGGACTTGTCTGCATTCCACAGGGCATGTAAGCAGGGGTCATTTCCTACAGGAGTGCACAGGAGCGGAGCTCTGGCAGTAAAGAGCCATGGGGGCGGGCACATGCAACAAGCCCCACCCCCTGCTCCCAGCAGCCCTCAGTCAGAGCAAGAAGCAGCCAGGTAAGCTGCAGAGCCCCCGGCCCAAAACAGTCCAGTGGCACCTTTAAGACCAAGTTTTATTCAGGTACAAGCTCTCCCTCCTCTGCGAGGACAGATCTGCACGTTCCCCCCCCTAATAGCTAGCAATCCAAAACAGTCCAGTGGAGCCTGAGCAGTGGGTGTTGCCTTCTGACACACTTCCGGTGATGTCAGGGGGTGTGGCATATGCAAATAAGTTATGGGGAGGTCAACAGTGGGAGGGCTTCTAATGTCCTGGCCCCACTGGTGGACCTCCTGATGGCACTGGTATTTATGGCCACTGTGTGATACAGAGTGTTGGACTGGATGGGCCTTTGGCCTGATCCAACTTTGGCATCTCTTATGTTCTTATGCTAATGAGCTCCTGCACCTGTTTTTCCACAAAATGACCCTTGCATGTAAGACAGAGTTATTCTACCGCACATTCCAGTAATATAATTCTGGTGGACTCTACTAACAACACTGTGGATTTTTGTGCCAAAAGCTGAGGTTTAATTGGATTTTATTGGAATTATGGTTCATTGCTACTGTATTGTCTTGTTAGCTGCCCCAAGCCCCATTCTGGGGAAGGGGTAAGATAAAAATCTAATAAAATAAATAAGAATAAATGCTACCTAAATTGGGTGTGGGAATTAAATAATTTCCCTTTATATTACATACATATATGTAAATGTGACTCGGCAATCTCTCTTGATGAGCACATTTATTGTTCTTTACACAGTGATATCACATGCACTATCCAATAGATAGTTGTGACACATGCAAATTATACATGGACATTTCAAGGATAATGAACACAATAGCTAGGGGAAGTTTTTGGAAAGGGATTAATGAGTGCTTGAGTTTGTAGCTTACATCAATGCGCTGAAGAGGAAACAATAGTCATCTTGAGAAAAATAAAATCTGACCACAGCTGTTTGGCACTGGAATGGACTACTCTTTTGGCCTTGGAACAATAAAATGAGCCAACTGTGGCGCTCTCTCATCAGTTGATGGATACATAATGATCCTTATGGAGCAGAGACAGTCCCCAGCAAGCAAGATAAGTGCCTGCTCCACCAGAGGTCTCCCAAACTGCTGAGGAGAATGTATCATGTGGTGTGCAATATAGCCAAAATTAGGTACTCTGAGCCCCACTGATGTCAAAGGGAGAGGGAAGCAAGTATAAATCTCTCCCACTGAAGGTAATTAGATGGTATCTTTCGTTGTATCACATCCAAACTGAGAAAGTGAAGCAAGATACACATACTATGAGCAAACTACACAGAGTGGAAAAGGGCAACAATGACAGCAGCATTCTTACCGTGTCTCCCTCAGCTTTTCTTTCACATGTGCTCCTACTGTAGGATCCTCAAGACTGTAGTACTCAGTCCAGTAGAAGCAGAGGTCTTTGTACTGAACCAGCAATTTCATCACGGTGCAAAACCCTTCTGCCATGTTGAATTCTTCTGCTTTTTTTGTTCCTTCCTCCCAGGCATAGATTGTCAGCAACTCCAGGGCGAACTTGGAGGGCAAGGATGATGATGGGTAAACTTTCTTGAGGTTCTGTTAAGAGATAAAGAGATTCCAGAGGAATCAGAGGAAGCCACAGATCATTGTGGTTATTCAAGGTAGATGTGGAATGATATATTTAGCAAGCTAAACACCGCTGTGACCACCTGAGACCGACCACGCAAGAGATGTTGGGAATAGCTGCTGCCATGACAGGCTGTGTGTTCAGAGCTACCAACAGGGCTGGAGAATATTTATTTCATTTATGTTATTTCTAGTCCGCCTTTCTCACTGGGACTCAAGGGGGATTACACAGAGTGAGTCAATACAATCAACAGGATGGGACATTGAATAAAACAATGAAATAGAATTTGGATTGTAGAACACACCAGAAATCTAGAAAACAGAACTGAGGCAAAGTGTAAGTGTTAACATGACACATTAAATGATGCAAGATTACATAGTAGAATCCAACCTACAGCAAACTATACACAGTAGTGTAGACCACAGTCCCCAATAATTTGTCCAAGTAACTTTGTGAATACTGTCCCTTTAATAGAGGCTCAATGGGCTGGTATTTAGCAGATAATACTATTTAGCTCCATGCAATGAAAAACTTCAGTTGCCCATTTTCACACACTAAGCCCCTATGAAAATTACAGGGCATTTTTTCTCCAGGCCTGTTGGCAATCTCTCCTCTGCCACTGTCACTGAATAAGCTGCCTGGGGAACCCCAGTATTTAGAGGTCCAAGAAACAATTCAGAACTTGATTCAGGAAGTAAAGTGCTCAGTGGTTGCAGCTGGAAGAGCATCCCATGACCTAAGAAAAGATTTGCTAGTTTACTATTATGCTGAACACCGCTGAGTAGTCTGTTTCAGGAAGACCCTCTATTTAAACTGTCTGGAAGCAACAGATGAGATAAAGTTAAGATGGCTATAGTTTAACTAGTAACTGTAAAGAAGGTGGGATACTCTGAAACAAAATCTATCTAGAGGTGGTCAGAATGACATTGTATGTATATGGTACCCCATACTAGTACATCTATCTACCAAAGAAACAGTACCTGATGTAATAAACACTCTGCATCTATGGTAATTTTCAAACTGTATAATACCGACAAATTGTACAAAATGTATGAAGCCACTGAGAGCTGACTATGCTCATGCTTACCTTGTAAATCTTTGCTGTTTATAAAAATGAATAAAAATGATCTGTTAAGAAGGTGGGGTGGATAAGATATATGTTGTGTGACAAGCCATTTTGTGAAGGCATTTTGAGTCACAAAGATTGCAGAGCTGTAGCCAGTTTATATATCTTGTGAACTCTTGCCTCACCTTAAGAGAAATACTGATACTGTGGGTGAGTATCTAGAGGCTTATGGCATCTGGACGCTTCTTATTTTGTTTTAGGACAACCATATGAGATATAATTTATTATAATCATTCTATATTTGTTACAGATTTGAAATTATGGAGTTTTGCTTATACGAAATTTTGACAGTGTTGGTTGGAGAGTACTTGGTGACCTTTGGCACCCTGAGGTTTTTTGTACTGGGTTTCATGATGTTGTATATAATTTACAGTTTTGGAATTATGGAATCTCTACAGTTTTGGAATTATGGAATCTGTTTAGAAGAAGGTTTCACCTCAAAACGTGAAAATTATCTAGAAAACACATCAGCATTAAAAAGGAAGATTCCTATTTATTATTTATGGACTCTAATACACAATAAGAATATACACATAAAGAGTATTAGAAGGAAGAACCATGCCTTTTTGTTTTTGAGAATGTTATATGTGAGAGAACGTTTGTTCAAATTCTACTGCTATATTTTGACTATATCATCTATCAGAAGTATTTGTTGTGATTGTTTATTCTACTATTGTTGTAGTGCTATTGTAACCACAGGATATACTATTACTATAGTTTAACTAGGCCATGGTATTTATGAGGATCTTTATCCATTTGATTTATTTGGATAGTGCACTAAAGCTTATATAAATTAGTAACAAGAACAGAACACATAAGAGGAACAGCTCACTTGCAGAAACATATAGCCAACAGGAAGACAGCAGGAAGACAGAAGTATTGGTAATCCTCTCTTCATCCATTCATGTGAAAGCAAGCATGTTTTGAAAAGATATGGCCAGATGACATGCAGATCAGCATATTGTAGAAAGATGGTGCAACTGACCAACTTTCTCACTTAAGCCAACAAAAACTTATTTTCCCCCTGTTTGGACCATGTGGCATAAGAAAGCTCAGACCATTCCATGGTGAGAAAAAGTTCAGAGAAAACACAATCCCCTCAAGAAACCAGGCATAATCACTGGAAACTTGTCTCTACTCTTCAAAACTGGAGGGGTAAAGCTAGGCAGGACTAAAGATGTTTGCTTTTTCCTTGCCATCCCTGAAAAATATGTATCCTGATTTTGCTTTCTGGTACTGAAATGAATGGTTGGCCACTCAGTATCTCTCTGCTGGTACCAATGATATGATGCATGAGGTAATATAGTGTGTTTGTATGCATTTTTACTTGATTATTTGCTATTTCTAAAATATTGTGCATCAATCTAGCTAGCAGCGTGCATGGCCCATCTTGCTGCCACCGGAATCCTGAACAGAACTGTGCACTGTGAACTACTCTGAGCAGCTGAGCATAATCATGTGCAGCCAGATTGGAAGGTGGCATGACAAGTTATAACTGTCTTTGCTGCCACTTCCTCAAGCCAGAAAAGGACAGTGGAGGGGAATGTGTTCTTATTCTGGTTTTTGTGCTATGTGGGTGGGGGAGAGAAAGAGAACAGGAACACATGGCTTTATGCCTGTTCTGATAACCCCCTTAAACTTGCAAGGGAAGCACCAGTTTGGTGTAGTGGTTAAGTGCGCGGACTCTAATCTGGGAGAACTGGGTTTGATTCCCCACTCCTTCACTTGCACCTGCTGGATGACCTTGGGCAAGCCATAGTTCTGGTACAGCTGTCCTTGAAAAAGAGCAGTTTCTGTCAGAGCTCTCTCAGCCCCACCTACCTCACAGGGTGTCTGTTGTGGGGAGGGGAAGGGAAAGGAGTTTGTAAGCCGCTCTGAGACACCTTTGGGTAGTGAAGGGTGGGGTATAAATACAATCTCTTTCTCTCTGTGACAGGCCATGGGGCAGAAAGAAGAGAGAGTGATTTAAACTGGGTTTGGGCAACCATTACTTATGGATGGTTAAAAAAAAATGTCCTACCTCTCTTCCCTTTGTTCAAAGCAGCTTGTCATCAGTTTCATTAAAAACACAATTTCACAACGACAACAATGTAGCCTACTGGATACTGGGGCCATGCACTCCTGAGTACAGCCTGACACGAGAGACTCCATGTAAACATTGGATCCCTCACAACCAACAGTCTAGAGAGAGGCAGCTAAAGCTTAAGATCACTGCTCCTAGCTCAGCCAGAATTGTGTGGGCACCACTAACCTGTCCCTAAATGCCAACGCAAGGAATATAAATAATCAAAGTCAGCCACTGTCTGCACTGCAGATCTATGAAAGGAGAAAGCTACTTGGAGGATTATAGCTACATCTTCTTCCTATTCTCCACAACCACATATCTAACATGAACCAGTTGAGAAACCAGATTAACTTCTAGCACTTAGCCAGGTTTAGGTCACATATGCTGGGTCGATGTCTTCAAATTGGTACCCTCTTTCACAACTACATCATACTGAGGGATGGGTTGGAGATTAAACACGGTATGATTCCAAACATGCGTCTCACTCTGTCTACCAATAAAAATACTCCTCCTACTGCCACAACTACTGATCACAGATAAAACAATTGGTCTCTCCTAATGATATTCCTCTCAACATTACTCTGCTTTCTGCCCTACCATAATACACTTCAGCTATCCAAGCCCAATAAACAAACCACTAAACCCCCAAAATAATGGTCTGCCGAATGCTGGAATCTAATCCAGAGGGACTGATGGCCTTGGGAGTCCTTTTTCCAGCACTGCCTTGAAAGTGACATCTCTATGGCGCCACTGGATAAGACACAACATGTTTAGCCCAGAAACGACAGCCTCACCCAAGCGTGGCCTGTGAAGATGACCTGAGTGATTGGGTATATTCATGAGGCAGCTGGCAGTCCTTCAGATATGCTGTCCCAGGCTATATAGGGCTGTAAAGTTCAATACCAACACCTTGAATTGGGCCCAAAATGAAACTGGATGACAGTGTAGTGTTAGCAGAGTGGACCATCTCTCTAGCTCCTGAATGACGAACTTGTTGCAAACACTCACTTGTACCTCTGACCTATGCTGAGTTAGTGTGAGCTAGCTCACTGTTTTTTAACCTCCAGCTCACAGATTTTTCTCTTAGCTCAGGAAGGAGGGCTCCAGAGCAAACTAATTTACGCAGTAGCCGAATCACTTGCTCACAACTTTAATGCCAGTAGCTCACAAAGTAGAATTTTTGCTCACAAGACTCCATTGCTTAGAGGGAACATTGCCCTTGACCCTAACCTGGGGCAAGGCTACAGCTCATTGTTCTCTATCATTTCTACTGTTTTAATGGTGCGCTCCCTTCAGCAGGTCTGCAGAGGTGGTGTACAAACTTTCTAAATAAGAAGAAGAAGAAGAAGAAGAAGAAGAAGAAGAAGAAGAAGAAGAAGATGAAGAAGAAGAACAATAAGAAGTAGAGTACGA